TGAGGCGGCTCATCCCCGGCCTGGGGGTCCTCCCGTTGAGGGGTCTGGGCGGGGGGGGAGACCACCCTCGGGGGGGGTGGTCTCCCCCCCTCCCTTAAGGGGAGGGGTCCAAGGAGGGGAGACAGCCCCCCCCCCCCCCCTTAGGGTAGAGGTCTGGGAAGGGCAGACCCCCTCGTTTAGGAGAGGGGAGACCTCCACCGTTAAGGGAAGGGGTCCAGGGTGGGGACACCCCCCACCCACCTTAAAGGAGACACCTCCTGGGGAGAGGAGATGCCCCCCCCCCCCCCCTTTTAGGGGAGGGGTCTTGGGAGCGGGAGACCCCAGTTAGGGGAGAGTCCCTGGGGTGGGGAGACAGCCCCCCTTTAAGGGGAGGGGTCCTGGGAGGAGAGACACACCCCCCCCCCCCACCACCACCGCCAGGCTAAAGGAGGCCTGAGAGGGTGAGCGAGGGAGGGGGAGACCCCTTAAGAGGGGGTTGGCCCCCCAAGCTAGGAGGGGGAAGGAGAGACACACCCCCTCTTAAAGGATCCGTGGCCCCCCCACCAGCAAGGGGGTGGAGGGAGGGAACTCCCCCTCTGGGGCAGGGAATGCAGACCCCCCACCACCATTAAGAGCTTGGGGGCTTTTCCCCCCCAACCCCAAAGATCCCCCCTTTATGGAGAGGGAGGGCTTGCTCAGCAGGGTGTGAGGGGCTGCAGCCCCACTTTGGGGGGGGGGGAATCACCCTGTCCGCCCACTTGAGGAGGGGGGGGAGGTAGGCATTGCGCTCCCCCAGATTCCCCTGCGAAGGGTCTCATGGAGGGGCTGGGGTTTTGGGGGGGTCCCCCACAGTGGGGACAGCCATGGAACCAAGCTCCTAGCCCCCCCCCCCCCAAGCAGGGGAGGGAGCCCTAATCCCCCTCACCAAAAGAAAAGGGGGGGAGAGCCTCAGGCTGATTTTTGTGGTGCTGCTGCCTTTTTGGGGTGTCCCCCCCCCTCGGGGGGGGGGGGGGCGTTTCCAGCATCCGCCTTTTTGGGTGGCAAATGCCCCCCTCTTTACCACCCCCCTTTTCATTTTTCCGGCCCGTTTCCGAAATCTTCCCCTGCTAACCCATGTTCATTTGGCTTTTCCGGCGGCGGCAGCAACCCCCCCGGAGACGAGCTTGGGGTTCGAACGGTGCCGGAGCCGCCCACCGGCAGCTGCCCCGGCTCTCTCAGAACGAAGCCGTCGTTGCGACGATGCCCACCGGCAATTAAAAAGCGTCTTTTTATTTGGTAATAAATTGACGGCGCCGGCTGTGGGCCGGGGAAACAGTTAAGGCGTTTGCTGGGAGATTAAGCTTCGCACAATGATTCTTTATATTTGGGGTTTTTAACGGAAATGGGGGCTTTGATTTCTTGGTAGTGATTTTTATTATTTTAATTTTTTTTTCTCCAGGAGCTGCCGTATCCGCACGAGCCGCCGGTAATTGGCGTTTAAATCTGCAGAGATAAAGACGGGCCTGACGTGCGCTTGGGCCGGCTGGTGATGTAATTTTTAATGGCCTGAATTCATTTATTTCTGCTTTTGCCCCACCAACTGGGGGGGGGGGTGGACAGACTTGAGAAACCACTTGATTTTAAAATTAAAAACCCAAAAAGGTGCTGAGCCGGGTGCCGAGGCTGCGCGGCAGAGGATGCCTGCTCCTATGCCAAGGCTCCTGCTGCTTTCCTTATTCCATCCCAATACAGGGAAGCTTCATTAGGGTAACATGCTTTGTCAGGCTTTTGACAGCACTTGGAAAAATAAATTTAAATTCTTTTTTCTTTTTTTTTTTTAATCCCTCCCTTTCTCTGTCCATGTTCCTGGGCGCTTTGGGGCAGCACCGCTCACCTCCGAGCCTCAGGGAGCTTCAGTTTTTCCTTTGCTACCTTGGGGAAAAAAAAAAAAAAAAAAAGGCTATTGTGGTTCCTAGCTGTGCAAAACGTCCGATTTTAGGACTTTCCTTGCTCAGGCACTTGCGCATCTCCTCGTCCTGGCTCAGAGGACAGGATTCAGGGAGTGGCACATCCGAAACAGCACCTTCACTGGAGCGCGGCATGAGCAGCATCTCCCAGAGAGGGTCGGTGTCTGCGCTCTGGCTCTTCCTTCCTCTCCACACCTGCTTTGCTCTTTTTTTTTTTTTTTTTAGTCTTTTTTTTTTCCTTCTTGCCCAGCAGCCTCGGTTCCCTCCCGGTGTCTCCCTGGCCACGTCTGCTTACCGGGTAGGTTTTCCCTCAGTCCTCAGAGCATCACCCACCCCGAGGCATCAGCAAATGGTGATTTTTGGAGAGATTTAGGCTTTACCTGAATCCAGAGTGATTTTAGGGATGCCGATTTGGAAGCTTGTCCTCTCTGAAGCAGCGTGACCTGATCGTGAGCATCTCATAGAGATCCGTGTTTTAGCGTGGGGGCTAAACCTGGATAATTTTCTGCCATCCCTCTAAACCATGGTGGGTTTTCTTGGTGCTGCTGGGAGAGGAGCTGGTCCCCTCGGAGCCAGGCAGTTTGACTGGGGAGCGTCCAGGGGGGCTGTGAAACCCTGCAGAAAGACACCCAATAAGATCGTGGCCGAGATCCATCCCTCCCCGTGGCCGCGTCTTCCCTCCCTGCCTCCAAACTCTGGTGAAACCAGGAAAATGGGGGGTAGGCATGTGCTGAGCTTCATGTCCGTGGTGTCTGCAGCCATCTGACAGCTGTGGGGCAATGGTGACCCTCATTTTGAGGTGAATTGGCTTAGGTGGGGTGGGCAAGGGGTTGAGGCGGTGAGGTCTGCTCATTTTTCTGAAGGAGACTGGATTTATTGCAATTGCAGTTGGGAATTGGGTGTGTAAAAGTGATTTTTATGGTGATGAGATTTTGGCGTGGCTGTCACAGAAGGTGATGCGTTTGTTCATGCTGAGCTTGAAGCCTAATTAGTCATCTTCTAGCCACGGCTGACTTAAGTGATGTGCACCAGTGTTTGCCCGGCTGGGCTGGGACTCAACAGTTGGTGTTTGCTCCTTCACTGAGGGATCTCTACGACTTTGACATCCTTTGGCCTCTTCCTTGCTGACTCATTTGGATGTTGCCCCAGTTTATTTTTCTTGAAAATTAGTTTCAAGTTTGCTAGCCACCGGGTCAGGGTGATTAACGCTCTGGTACGTTCTCGGGGAGGTGGTTGGTGGTGGAGCTGTTAACCACCCAGGCTGGGTGGGATGAACAGCTCCATCCCCACTGCAGAGATGTTTCTGGTTGGGTTGAATGCCTCTGGGGCTGTTCGTGGCAATACACCAGGAAGGGCCCCAGTTGGTCCATAAATATGGATAAATATAAATGTATGCCCATATACATTGACTGTAGTTAACAGCTCAACATCCAAATGGAGATCAGCAATGAGTGGTGTCTATCGGGGTCCATACTGAGACGAGTACTGTTCTGATACCTTCATCAACGACCTAGACAGTGAGATTGCAGGTGACACCAAGCTGAGTGGTGCCGTTGGTATCCTCAGGGGAAGAGCTGCCATCCAGAGCGAGCTGGAGGAGTTGACCAAAATGAACCTCATGAGGTTCAAGAAGGCCAAATGCAAGGTCCAGCAGCTGGGTGGGGGCAATCCCCTGTCCCAGCACAGGCTGGGGGAGGGATGGATGGAGAGCAGTCCTGTGAAGAAGGACTTGGGGATGCAGGTGGGTGACAACTGGGACATGAGCTGGCAATATGTGCTCGCAGCCCAGAAAGCCAAGCGTCTCCTGGGCTGCAGGTCGAGGGAGGGGATTCCCCCCCTCTGCTCCGCTCCACTAAGACCCCCACCCTGCGTCCAGCTCTGGGGTCCCCAGCACAAGACAGACATGGATCTGCTCAAGCAGGTCCAGAGGAGGCCACGGAGATGGTTCAAGGGCTGGAGCAGCTGTGCTGCGGAGAAAGGCTGAGAGAGTTGGGGCTGTTCAGCCTGGAGAAGAGAAGACCTTACTGCAGCTGTTCAATATAAGAAAGATGGAGAGAAACTTTTACCAGGGTCTGCAGCGATAGGACAAGAAGCGACAGCTTTAAACTGACAGAGGGGAGGGTTAGGTTGGACACAAGGAAGAAATTCTTTGTGATAAGGGTGGTGAGACACCGGAGGAGATTGCCCAGGGAAGCTATGTATGCCTCCTTGTGGGAAGCATTTGAGGTCAGGTTGGATGGGACTCGGAGCAATCTGATCGAGTGGGAGATGTGCCTCTCCATGGCAGGGGGTTGGACTGGATGGTCTTTGAAGGTCCCTTTCAACCCAAACCATTTTATGATTCCATATATATATATATATATATATAATTCCGTATATATATATGTACACACACGTACACGTGTACATATATATATATGTCTATGTGTAACCCTGCAGTCTAAGCCCTCGTGAAGCTGTTGGCAGAGCCAACAACTCAACCCGATGCCATGTTTCTAACAACCCACCTCAAAGCTGTTTTCTCTCATTCTCCTGCCAGGAACACCACTGGAGGAGCTGGCCTTGGCCAGGGAAGGGGGTTACAGGTGCTCCGGTCAGTCTGCTCGTTTGTGAAACCCCCTTCGTTAGGGGATAAGCTTGCCATTTTGCAGGCAACCTGCTTTTGCTGAGGCGATGGACGAGTCCCCACAGAGAGCTTGCACCTTGCCACGCATCACTCTTTCCTATGTGTCACCAGAGAGACGGTGAAAGAACAGGTCTGTCTCTGCTGCTGGCACACCAAAAAAATACCCCCAAACAAGCCCCGTAAGAGGTTGATTTTGCCTGGTGCTTCTCTCATGGTGAGAGCTGTGGGAGATGAGCCAGCGGATGGAGATGATTAATATTCACGCAGCACTGCCTATTCCTTTCCCCATCATGATAGCACTTGACCTTTGCCTTTTGTCTCAGGATTACTGGATTGTTTTTAAAGCCTTTTTACGAGTTGACAAACGCAGAGGCATTGCCACATTCTGAGGCTGTGTTGAAGGTAGCGTTGTGGCAACTTTTAAATACCTAGATGAGAAGAAATGGCACTTAAATGAAGATTCTTCTTTTTCTCTGCTATGGTATTTTGATGTGAATAACTGTCTGGGATATTTATCTTACGATGGATAAATAGTAGTTTATTGGAGAGCAGTTGTAGCCTCAAGGTGTATTTATTTTTGCTTAACATTACCCTGGACGCGGATTCACTTTTGCTGTGACGTGAGATGGTCCTGGATGCCACCTCGTTGCAGAAAAACCTTTGCCCGCCTGTTGTGAGATACTGTTTAACCACATACTTATCCCCCCCCCGCCTTTCATTTTAGTCAAAGATTTAATGATCCAGCTGGGGAGAGCAAGCCCAGGCCGCTTGGCTCCTGGCCAGGTATTTCCACCGTTTAAGCCGTCAGATTATTTTGTGGCGCTTCGATGACACCACGGCTGCGCTCACCGAAATGCCTGAGATAAGCAAGCCTGGCTCCAGAGTACCTGAATTGGCTGCTGTGGTGGGTTTGTGCCATGTGCCTTCCTCAGAGAAGGGGAATGCCGAACCCACTCCTTTCGTTTTTAAGCTTCAAGGTTGAGGGTTGCTTTTTTTTTAAGGGCTTCAAGCAAGTTCAGGTTTGCCGATTGCAGAGGACAGAACGACCGTAGGTTTCACATCTGAGGCTGGTCCATGGCACCAGCTGGTTTAACTGGCAGCCAGAGAGACACAGAGCTTGGGGAGCAGCAGCATCTCCAGGGGACCCCATCACCGGGCAGCTCTGGATGACTTTTTTGGTGATGTTAATACACCCAGAAAACAAAGTGCTGGAGGTGCCCTGTGTCCCCTCAAGGCACTGTGGGGCTGCCATTTCTTTTTGTCTCTGCCTCTGCATAGTCCAGCTTCTAATTTAGAACCTTAGCTTATTTAATTTAAAATGCTTATACTAAACGCTCGGTTTTCTTAAAAATGCAAATTTCAGAGGGGTTCTGGATGCAAGACCACACTGGACGGAGAGGTTTGTCCCATGGCGGGCTGTGGTCCAGCCAGTCACTGCTCCACAGACAAGGTGTAGCTGAGGGTGGAGTGTGTCTCCTTAAACCCTCTGCACCCTGGATTTAATTTCGTCTGATTTCCCATTGGGAATGCTGTTCTGCTGTTATTTTAGCCCCTGGCTTCATGCTGTGCAGAGCACTCGGTGCCCTGGGCATCTGTGGCAGCAGGTTGAGGAGGAAGAGGATCCCATCGACCTGGGGAGAGCTGCAACACGGAGGTCATTCCCCTTAAATAAATGAAAAGCCATGCCAAAAACTGGTTGGCGGTGTCCGCATTGCCGTCGGGTCCCCTTTCCTCAGGGGTTTTTGAGTCACAAGCTGGAGTTTCTCCTCCTGCAGCACCCGCCAGGGCCTTCGTGACCCTGGTGAGTGCCACAGAGAGCATGAAGAAAGCTTTGTCTCTGGTTTAATAGCATTTGGGAAGCTGCTTAATTGAACGTACTATTAATTCTGGGACTGTTGCGACACACGCATGCAGTGAGCATTGGGGGCTGGCGTGGAAAGCTGGGTTGAGTGCCGGCAGCCGCCCAGGCTTATCGGCAGCCAGGACTGTGTGAGCTGTTGTCACTGGTGGCTGTGGTCATATCCAGGTTTCAGGTATCTGGGAGCAGAAAATACCTTTTTATTTTTTTCCTTCTCTTTGGCTCTGCTGCCAGCTTCTTAAGAGGAAACAAGAGCTAAATTCCCCCTGCTTTGCTGGGAATTAACAGAGCAGGTCCCTTCTTCTTCCTGGTCTTCCTGGCTGGACTTTGTGGCATAAATGAGTAACTCCTGACTCAGAGATTTAGGGGAGAAAATGAAAGCGAGCGCCGTTTGACACCAATTTTCCCCTTCCCATGCCCCGAGCAGAGGATAAAGGACATCGCTTCGTTAGGTTAAGCTAAATGGGGAGCTGAGGACACGCAGGCATGAGTGTGAGCGCACCCAAAAGCAGGGTGGGTGTGAAGCTTTCTGTGGCTCCTGGGTCTGAATCTGGGGGTGGGTTACTTATCCCCACACCGGGCTGATCCCTCCAGCTGCTTTTGCAGCATGTGCAGAAAAACACGGTGGAAACGGGCATGCTCCCATGCGCTGGCCAGGACTGATCCCGCCACATGTCCCCGTGTTCCCCCAAAACCTGCTTTTACGCCGCTGTGCTTCTGAAACCTTGCATTTAACTTTTTTTTTTTGTATTTAAAGTCTGATTTTAAAGGTATGAAGCTGATCCACAAGAGGAAGCAGGGGAAATGGCTCTCAGGAGTTGCATAGGATGCGCGGTGATTTTTTTGAACTATTATCCACATCTAACTTCTATAATTTTGGTGTGGAAACCCCACCCACGGTGTGCTCAGATATCCCAGTCTGTTGCTTTTTGCCAGCATAGGAAATGCTTGTGCAAGCAAACGTGAGCAGGATGAAGGTGATGGTGGGAAGCTGAAGGAGCTGCCTCTGCTGGAATTCACTTTTGCTCCCAAAACCTGTCTGTGGAAGTGCTTCTGCAACTGTGCGTACCGTGAGTTTTGCCAGCTGAACAGAAAAAGGCGGATTCCCCACCAGGCAAAAGAGAACAGAAAATCTGATTTTCACCAAATTTGTCAGAAATTCATTGGACAATGCTGTCGCCTGGCCCAGGCACGTACTGTAATTTGTTAATAAATTGCCCACTTTGCGCTGAGGATTAACATGGGCAGTGGTGCAGTATCCTCCATGCCGGCCCTTCCTCCCCCTTGTTAGACGCTTGGTATGTTGCTGCCCTCACTCATCACAGATTTGGTCTTGGAAACCAGCAGCTCTGCAGCTCCAGGGGTTTTTATTTTTTGCAGAAAATTGGGAAAGTGGTTTTATGTCTGCAAGAGGGCTGGGCATGGCTGGGGAGACACTTCGTCCTGCTGCGTGACGAAGGGTAGCCCATCTGTTGCACGAGATTAAGCATTTCGGACCCAGATGGTTAAAAGCTTAAATCAATCTTTGCAAAGATCCAAACGACCCATTTCAGGGACTTTCTGCTACTGGGACACGGAGAAAAAATTTACAACTTTGGGGGAATCCCTCTGTCCTTGTGCCTGTGCCGTGTTTCCAGCTGCCGCATCAGCTGGGCTCTCTGACTGGAGCATGGGAGCATTGGAGGGGAGATAGGAGAGCCGCAGCGGCTTGCCAGTTCGGCCGCCGGTCAGACAAACCAGTTTAAACAGCACCAGGGGTAAGCCGGAGCACGCTGATGTCTCGCCAGGGTCTGGGTGCTTGGCATCCACCTGGACTCATCCTCCAAAATGGGGAGAAGCAGTGAGGATTGAGGAAAAATGCAGCAGGAAGAGTGGTTTCCAGTGGAGCAGCAGAAGAAGCTGTACAAGCAGCCCTGAGCCCCGTCCAGCCTCCCAGGGAGTAACTGCATTCCTTCAAATTGAGTGATGAATAATTAGGTGAAGTAATTAAAGGTTTGACAGCAGCTCGGCAGCATAGTTTACATTGCACTGGTGCTGCGGCTGTTACACCTTTTTACCTGCAAGAGTCTCACCTTGAGGAGTGACACACGCTGCCAATAAGTGATGTTCCCGCAGGAAATAACGTGTCCACAGAAGAGCCAAGAGTTTGCAGACTGACTCCTGAAATGCCCGAACTTCTTGTGTTTAAGCTTAAACACCCACTTCTTCATGGCATTCAGATCACGTAACCTGGTGGCTTGACTGATGCAGGTGACCTCATGGAGGGGTGAAATGTGGGTTTTTTGAGATCAAATGAATGTCAGGGTAGGTTTTTGAAAGCAAAGCGCCTGACAGTGTGGCAGGTTCACAGCAGCCTTTGTCTGTTGTGTGATTCAATCCAGCTGGGGAACTGGAAGAACTGCACCATCCAGATATCAAAGTGGAGGAGACATTGTGGAAGGCTGTGCTTCCTGGATTGTTCCAACGACCCACAATGTCATCTGCATGCAAGTTAATTTTGATTTTTGCCATAAGCTGAAAACTTCCATTCTTGGATTGTAAAGCAAACTATCTCAACTGCCGTTTTTCATAGAATCACAGGTTTTGGGTTGATGGGACCTTCAAAGATCATCCAGTCCAACTGTCCTGCCATGGGCAGGGACATCTTCCACTAGATCAGGTTGCTCCAAGCCCCATCCAGCCTGACCTTGAACACTTGCAGGGATGGGGCATCCACAGTTTCTCTGGGCAACCTTTTTCAGTGTCTGACCACGCTCATAGTTTCAGGAGCCGTAATTAGAATCATCTCTCCCTCTAATACTGTTCCCTCTGGGAGGACTCCCTTGTGTCAGCTCATGCTTGAGGTGCCTCTTCAAGGCTTTAGATGGATCTCGCTGGCTTTTTTTTTTCTCTTTCCAGCTATTCTGATCCTACTAGATCCCATCTATCCACGGGGAGTGAAGAGGTAATCCTCCTGGTAGAAGCAGTATTGGGTGTTAAGCCAGCGCTATGTGCAATCTTAGGTCAAAAAGCAAAGACAAGACGGGATGGTTTGTTTTACTTGCTTTCTTTTCAGCGTTGACTTGGAAACGCCCGGGAAGCAAGCCCTCTCCCCCAGGCCCTGCTGTGGGTCCCCTCAGCTCTTCCCTCCGCTGCTGACCTGTTTTTCGTGCTCCGTTCCCGGCTGGGGGGCAGACCATGACCTTGATCTGCCTTCGTGACACGGTTGGCTTGTGGTTTGCGCCCGCAAGCCGCTTGTGATGACAGTGGGGAAGCAGTACCCACTGTGGTTAGCGCTCAGTCGGATGCTGCGGTTGGCACGTCTTGGCTGCTGCCAGTATCTCCCTGGCGTCAGCACTAGTGTTCAAGTGCGAGGTGTATAAAATGGTACGGGCAGAATTAGGTCTCTTTGGGGTTCCTGAGCTGAAATGCTGATGGTTGTTTCTTTTTCTCCTAGGGGGAAACGTCGGCCGTCCAATGATGGGGACCAGCAAGAACTGAAGCGCTGCTGGTACATACAGGATGGGAACGACGAACTTCATCACCCCGGCGCCCTGCCTGGCTTGAGAACTGTCACCCCACCTTCCACTGAGCTCTCAAGTTGCACCGGGTGCTGGAAACACTAATCCTCTTGAGTGCCGGAAACACTAATCCTCTCGGGTGCCAGAAACACTGATCCTCTTGGAAACGGTTGACTGGGACAGGATGTGTGGATGATGATGATGGCAAGAAAGCAAGATGTTCGCATTCCCACCTATAACATTAGCGTGGTGGGATTGTCTGGAACGGAGAAGGAGAAGGGGCAGTGCGGCATTGGGAAATCCTGCCTTTGCAACCGGTTTGTACGGCCCAGCGCGGATGAGTTTCATTTGGACCACACTTCAGTTCTCAGCACCAGTGACTTTGGGGGAAGGGTGGTCAATAATGACCATTTCCTCTACTGGGGGGAAGTTGTGCGTTCCCTGGAGGACTGCGTCGAATGTAAAATGCATGTTGTGGAACAGACGGAGTTTATTGATGACCAGACCTTTCAGCCTCACCGCAGCACGGCCCTGCAGCCCTATATCAAGAGGGCTGCTGCAACCAAACTGGCATCGGCTGAAAAGCTCATGTACTTTTGCACTGATCAGCTTGGCCTGGAACAGGACTTTGAACAAAAACAGATGCCGGATGGAAAGCTGCTGGTGGATGGCTTTCTTCTCTGCATTGATGTTAGCAGGGGTATGAACAGGAACTTTGATGATCAGCTCAAATTTGTTTCAAATCTTTACAATCAACTAGCGAAAACAAAAAAGCCCATCGTGGTGGTCCTGACAAAGTGTGACGAAGGCGTGGAGCGGTACATTAGGGATGCACATACTTTTGCCTTAAGCAAAAAGAACCTCCAGGTTGTGGAGACGTCAGCTAGATCCAATGTGAACATTGACTTGGCTTTCAGCACCTTAGTGCAGCTGATTGATAAAAGCCGGGGAAAGACTAAAATCATCCCCTACTTCGAAGCTTTGAAACAGCAAAGTCAACAGATAGCTGCTGCTAAAGACAAGTATGAGTGGCTGGTCAGCCGCATCGTCAAAAACCACAACGAGACATGGTCAAACATGAGCCGCAAGATGCAGTCCTCTCCAGAGTATCAGGATTATGTCTACCTGGAAGGAACGCAGAAAGCCAAAAAGCTGTTTCTGCAGCATGTCCACCGCCTCAAGCAGGAGCACATAGAGCGCCGGCGGAAGATGTATCTCGCCATGCTTCCTCAAGCGTTTGAAGCCCTCATTCCGGACCTGGACGAAATAGATCACCTGAGTTGCATAAAAGTGGAGAAGCTCTTGGAGACGAAGCCAGACTTTCTGAAATGGTTTATTGTCCTGGAAGAGACGCCCTGGGATGCCACAAGCCACATTGACAACACGGAGAACGAGCGCATTCCCTTCGACCTGATGGAGACTCAGCCCGCTGAGCAGCTCTACGAAGCTCATTTAGAAAAGCTGAGGAACGAGAGGAAAAGGGCAGAAATGAGAAGAGCTTTCAAAGAAAACCTGGAGACTTCCCCTTTCATCACACCTGGGAAGCCCTGGGAGGAAGCACGCAGTTTCATTATGAACGAGGATTTTTACATGTGGCTGGAGGAGTCTATTTATATGGACATCTACAGCAAGCACCAAAAACAGATTATAGAAAAGGCGAAGGAGGAGTTTCAGGAGCTGCTCTTGGAGTACTCGGAGCTGTTTTATGAACTGGAGCTTGACGCTAAACCCAGCAAGGAGAAAATGGGCGTCATTCAGGATGTCTTGGGTGAAGAGCAAAGGTTCAAAGCCCTGCAGAAGCTGCAGGCTGAGCGGGACGCCCTTATTTTGAAGCACATCCACTTCGTGTACCACCCAACAAAAGAAACATGTCCAAGCTGCCCGGTTTGCATAGACTCTAAAATCGAGCACCTGATCAGCTCCCGCTTCATCAGGCCCTCCGAACGCAACCAGAAGAACTTGCTTTTGGACTCCAACATCGACAGGATCAATCTGGTGATCCTCGGCAAGGACGGTTTGGCACGCGAGCTGGCCAATGAGATCCGGGCACTCTGCACCAACGATGACAAGTATGTGATCGAAGGCAAGATGTACGAGCTGTCCCTGAGGCCGATAGAGGGCAACGTCCGGCTCCCTGTTAACTCTTTCCAGACGCCTACCTTTCAGCCTCATGGTTGTCTCTGCCTTTACAACTCGAAGGAGTCGTTGTCCTATGTGGTGGAAAGCATCGAAAAGAGCAGAGAGTCAACCATTGGCAGGAGGGATAATCACTTGGTTCACCTTCCTCTGACGCTCATCCTTGTTAACAAGAGGGGGGACACCAGTGGCGAGACGCTACATAGCTTGATACAGCAAGGCCAGCAGATCGCGAGCAAGTTGCAGTGTGTCTTTCTGGACCCCGCATCTGCTGGCATCGGGTACGGCCGTAACATCAATGAGAAGCAGATCAGCCAGGTTTTGAAGGGGCTGCTGGACTCAAAACGCAACTTAAACCTCGTCAGCTCAACCTCCAGCATCAAAGACCTGGCGGACATTGACCTTCGGATCGTCATGTGCTTGATGTGCGGAGATCCGTTCAACGCGGACGACATCCTTTTACCCATCCTGCAGTCCCAGACCTACAGACCTTCACAGTGCGGCAGCAGCAGCTCCGTCCTCCTTGAGTTATCCATTGGGCCGCACAAGAGGCGCGTGGAGCTCTCACTCCTTTCCTACCATTCCTCCTTTAGCATTAGGAAAAGCCGGCTCGTCCATGGGTACATTGTCTTTTACTCAGCGAAACGCAAGGCATCCCTGGCCATGCTACGTGCCTTTCTCTGCGAGGTGCAGGATATCATCCCCATACAAGTTGTGGCGCTTACGGACGGCTCCATAGACATCCTGGACAACGACTTGAGCAGAGAGCAGCTCACCGAGGGTGAGGAGATCGCCCAGGAGATTGATGGCAAGTTCACCACGATACCTTGTAGCCAGCCACAGCATAAGCTGGAGATTTTCCACTCATTTTTTAAGGACGTGGTGGAGAAAAAAAACATCATCGAAGCCACCCACATGTACGACAACGTGGCCGAAGCCTGCAGCACAACAGAGGAGGTGTTCAACTCACCTCGAGCAGGCTCCCCTCTCTGCAACTCCAACCTGCAGGACTCAGAGGAGGACATCGAGCCCCCCACCTACAGCCCCTTCAGAGAGGACACATCCATGCCCACCCTGCCCAAAGACCACTCAAAGCTTTCCATGGAGCTGGAGGGGAACGATGGCTTGTCTTTCATTTCCGTCATGAGCACTTTTGAAAGCAAGCTGAACAACAAAGTACCTCCTCCAGTGAAACCAAAGCCCCCTGTGCATTTTGACATTACAAAGGGAGACCTGTCATTTTTGGAGCAGGGGCATCGGGATGGGCAGAGGAAGTCCATGTCTTCTAGCAGCTGGTTGCCCACAGACTGCTTCGATCCTTCCGATTACGCTGAACCAATGGACGCTGTGGTCAAACCCAGAAATGAAGAGGAGAACATCTACTCCGTGCCTCACGACAGCACCCAGGGCAAGATTATTACCATCCGAAATATTAACAAAACCCAATCGAATGGCAGTGGCAACGGCTCGGACAGCGAGATGGACACCAGCTCCCTGGAGCGGGGCCGCAAGGTGTCAGTCGTTAGCAAGCCCGTGCTGTATCGGACGCGCTGCACGAGGCTGGGCAGGTTTGCTAGCTACCGAACCAGCTTCAGTGTTGGGAGCGATGATGAGCTGGGACCCATTCGAAAGAAAGAGGAGGACCAGACTTCCCAAGGGTATAAAGGTGATAATGCTGTTATCCCCTATGAAACAGCTGACGGGGAAGATCCGAGGAGGAGGAACATCCTGCGCAGCCTGAGAAGGACGACAAAGGTAGGCTGGTGCTTTCTGCCCTTCGATCATGGGATTTGCGGGGTAGAGGTCAGGACGTATCACCAAGTGTAAAGCCTGAAGGAGGGTGGGAGCCCCTGCCGTTGCATTCATGGTGTGTTTTTCATGTATTTACTGATTGATTGAGTAGGGTGAGCACAGAATCTCTTTATTTTATTTTTTTATCGTGCATTAAGTCACTGCTGGCATGGGCTGTGTGAACTTGCAGTCCTATGCCAAAATCAACTCCATCATTTCCACCCTTGCAACACTCTTCTGAGAAAGTTTGTTCCGTGCTCAGAAGTTAGGAGTTTCAAGGGACAATTAGCTGAAACATGGGCGCTTTGAAATGCGGCCTCCATCTGCCTTGTAAATTCTCTTTAACATGGATGAATGGAGTAAAGGCACTATTGTTGGCATAGAGTCATTTAAAGAAATGGGGTGAAGCTAGATGTGTCTGAACAGGGAAGACGCTGGTAAGTTGAGGACCCATCTAAGTTGTTGTCTGTTGCTACTCTTGGGTGGCTTTTCTCAAGGCTCTTCTCTAGGCGCATCGTGCTGCCACAGCTCTACAAAACCAGACTTATATCCACCTGGATTTGCTGCCGCTCTTTGGCACAATTGTGGATCTGCTCTTTGGAGGGTGAAACTGGTTTTGGACAAGCCTGCTGGTCTGCAGTGTTGCGTGGTTGAGTAATCTTTGGAATTCTTGGCCAGCAGTTGGCATGTCGATCGCCAATGGTTGGCCATCAAAGCCACACAGCCCTACGCATGATGTGGCAGTGTTGGGCATGTGGTGGGTGTCCTGCCCACTCCAAGACATGGTGGACATCTTGGGTCCCACGCATGGATGCAGATGGAGAAGCCAAGTCATGCTTGCATGGTCCATGGGAACGAAAATGCGTGGCACTGCAGTGGAATGGAAGCACACACACACACATGCACACACATATATGTACAACATACAGAAACATACAATACAGGCATTATATACGTACACAGATGCAAATGTTATATATGTACAGATATCACACACATGGCATATACAGAGGCACTCATGTCATGCCAACAGACATATACATGCACATGTTAAATATACACATGCATTACACATGTTAAATATACATACACACAGACATCACACATGGAGGTCATATACATATGCACATTACACACATGCACACATGTGCACACATACATACACGCTTTATATACACACATATGCATATGCTTATGTACACACATATACACATGAGCACACATATACACAATGCACCATTATATACGCATGTGCATATTATATACACACGCGTATCTTATACATAAGTGTTATGTACACGCACACACATATAGAAGTTATATACATATACACACATGCAAACACACAAGTTATATGCACAAATACATGTACGCGCCCATGTTGTTATGTACACATCTATACAGGCACGTACACTATACACGCAGACATTACGATGTGGGTGTATATATGTGTGCGAGGAAGAGGGGAGGCAGGAGGAGGAAGGGAAGCGGGGGCTGTGCTCCCCCTGACCTGGCAGAGGGAGCAGCAGCAGCTGCCGGACGTCCTGCTTGGAGCTGCCTGCTGCTGCAAAACCAATCACGGTAATTAAGAGGCATTATTAATTTCCACTGGAAACAAAGGGAGAGCTGCCCACAACGATCTGCCAAGCAGGAAGGAGCAAACCAAAATCCTCTTCTCCTTGGTGGGGAGGGGATGGGCCTGGTGCGATGCCTTCGGTCTCCAGGAACGATCCCGCTCCCTGCTCTGTCATGCTGAGAGCTTCCTCAATTTCCCTTCTGCGTCCAACTGCTGAAGCATCGTTTTCTGCTTGCTGCATTAAAAAAAGCTCCGTCCAGACGCTCCCACTCATCGGGGGGTGCTTGGGGATTGGGGAGAGCCGGTTGCTCTCATACAAAAAGGGTGTTTCGAGACTCCCCCCGGAAATGGGTGTTTTGAGTCTTCCCGAAATACCCACAGGGGCACAAACTTCCCTTATGGGCGATGGATACACTCACTCCCATGGCGTGGGACATGCTAAGAGGAGAGCAGGCTGCACTCTTCTGCAAGGGGAGGAGGCTTTGCTGATGGGACTGGGTTTCCAGCTGGCGGATTTGGGTTTATAACTGGCTTGTTTGGGTTTATAACTGGCTTTTTGGAGTTTCCAGACAGCATTTTTGGGCTTTGGTCCCATGCTGTGTTGTAGCACTTCCCCTTTTCCAAGGGGAAGCCAAGGGATGTGGCCGGGCAGCAGATGCTGCCACTAATAGCAGTTCTTGACATTTTAATTTCTCCCCCTTAATTGTGGGGATTTATTTTTAAGTCACAGTTTCATCTTCATTTTGCTGTTGGGAATGGTGTGTGTTGGCAGGTACCGCCTTGCCCAGGCTGGAGGAGCATTTGGGTTTCCACCTTTGCTTTGGTGATATGTTGTGGGGTTTATTTTGCTCTTTCCTTAAAGTTTAGTAGCAAAATTCTGATAGTAGAATCATAGAATGGGTTGGGTTGGAAGGGACCTTCAAAGACCATCCAGTCCAACCGCCTGCCATGGACAGGGACATCTCCCACTAGATCAGGTTGCTCCGAGCCCCATCCAACCTGACCTCGAACACTTCCCACAATGGGGCATCCACAGCTTCTCTGGGCAACCTGCTCTGGTGTCTCGCCACCTTTATTGCAAAGGATTTCTTCCTTGTGTCCAACCTAACCCTCCCCTCTGTCAGTTTAAAGCTGTCACCCCTTGTCCTGTCACTGCAGACCCTAGTATAAGTTTCTCTCCATCTTATAAGCACCTTTATATATTGAAAGGCCACTAGAAGGTCTCTGTCTAGTATGTCCATGTCTCTCATGTACTGGGGAGCTCAGTGCTGGACCCACCACTCCAGGTGGGTCCTCAACAGCACTGAGGAGAGAAGGATCACCTCCTTCTAGCTGCTGGCAACGCTTTGTCTAATGCAGCCCCAGACACCGTTGGTTGCTGTTGTGGCACCTTGCTGGCTCATGGTCAGCTTGGTGTCCACCAAGCCCGCCCCCCAGGTCCTGCTCTGCTGAGCTGCTTTCCAGCTGGGTGGCCCCCAGCCCCCCAGTGTGTCCCTGGGGTTGTTCCTCCCCAGGGACAAGACTCTGCGTTTCTTGTTGAACTTTATGAGATTCCCATTAGCCCGTTTCTCCAACCTGTCACGGTCCCTCTGGATGGCAGCACAACGCTCTGCTCCCACTTTGGTGTCATCCGCAAACGTGCCGAGGGTACATCTGCCCCATCATCCAGATCATTAATGAAGATGTTAGACAGGACTGGACCTCAGATTGACCTCTGGGCTAGTCCATTGGGCACTGGCCTCCAACTAGACTTTGCTCCACTGATGACCACCCCTTGGGCCTGGCCATTCAGCCAGTCTTCACCCCACCTTACCCTCTGCTCATCAACAGCTTCTCCAGGAAAATCTGGTGGAGAAGGTGTCAAAAGTCCTAGCCAAGCCCAAGTGGACACTCCACTGCTCTCCCCTCATCAACCAGACCAGCTGCTTCATCCTAGAAGTTCATCAAGTTGGGTGAAGTCCCATTGGCTTCTCCCATTTTTTTTGGTCTTTCCCTTCAGCACCCGGAGAGGTTTTTTCAGCTAAAGACTGACAAAAATGCCCATTTTGATGAAAACAGTGTCGCCATTTATTTTTCACCTAAGCCATGACATCCAGGAGGCTCCACCTTAGACATTGGCGAGCGACAACGTTTGGGATGAAATTCGTCAGCTTTGCAAAGCCTTCGGTCAGGTTTAATGTTCTGTAGCAGGGAAGGGAGTGTTGGGAGAAGTGGCTTCCTCTTCTGTAACCACCACCCCCGCCTCTCTCTTGAATAAATACATTACGATGATAATCATTCACTTTAGTAAATAAGAATAGCAGCCTGCTTGAATAAGTGTCTTATTCATAATATTATAATAATATTACATGCATTGGAATAAATAATAATGCGTTGGAATAAATAATAATCCATTAGAATAAATAATAATAATTCATTGTAATGAATACTAATGCTTTGGAATAGATAATAAGTTGCTTGAATAAATAGCAATCCACTGAAATTGGCATCTTATCTGGGTCTTGCGGCTGTCAGTGAGGATGCTGTGGATGCGGGAGCACCTCCAGGAGGGTTTTTCTCCCCGCAGCTCCTGCTGGATCTGGCCCAGCTGGGAATTCAGCCCGGCAAAGTGATCGCTGTGTTTTAGGCTTTATCCACAGCTACGCTCAGCACGGATCGGTTGGCCAAGGAGCAGCGGGAGTTTGTTGGGGCTGTGGCTTGCCCCGTTGGATCGGCTTGTGTCGCTCCTGCCAAAATAACTGGATTTTGGCTTCCAATACCCTTCGCCATGTAAAAATTTTAAGAGCAGCTTCTGCATCCTTCCTATCTCCATGGTAACGGGTCAACTTGCAGATTAAAGTGTTTAAATAAACGGGCATATTTGGGGTATTTGCCTCAACTTTGCTCTTCTCTCTCCCACAGAAGCCAAAGCCCAAACCTCGGCCGTCCATCACGAAGACGACATGGGAAAGCAACTATTTTGGGGTGCCTTTGACCAATGTAGTGACTCCGGAGAAACCCATCCCCATCTTTATTGAGAGATGCATTGAGTACATCGAAGCAACAGGTAAGAGGAACCGGCTGCGGAGCTTTCTGCCTGGGGGGAAAGGTCTTGTTGCAAGCTGCGATGGCAGCGCATGGGGAGGTTTCTTCTTCATCACAAGCTCAGGTCGCTGTGGTTTTTTCTGAGAAGGCATAAAACTCTTCCCTGGATCCCTTTTTATTACCTGGGGAAATGGGCGTGCCTGGTGAACCACCAGCCTTGGACATCTGCTGTTCCCATCCCGGCCTCAGAGATGAAGGGTTGAAATAACTCCGGCTACCTTCAGGTGGGACTTTTTTGGGTGCATCCACCTTGCACCTTTCCCTCCAAGTGGTTGATGTTGATGGCTACAGCCTCTGGCAGCCCTAATTAACACCAAAATAAGCTCCATGCTTTTTTTCTGATGGCTTTTTCCCCCACCAGGCTCTTGCTCCAGGAAACTGTAATGGGGATATCAGGCGGTGGGTGCTTCCCCTTTCTCGGCTTTTTTTTTTGCCGATGGCAAAGCATGAGCCAACACCACTGCCGCATCCAAGAAAAAACAAGTCAGTGACGCTTCACCCCCCTGGTCTCTCATCCGGAAAATCCAGGCAGTGTTTTCAGGGAGACCAGGTTTTGTTTCTTTTTCCCCACTCTGTACACCAAAAAAAAAAAAGACCATTATTTAGGCGGAAATGCCTTGCGCAGAAGAGATGTCAGTCATCACAGTGCGCTGTAATTTGAATTAATCATTAACGCTTTAAATGAGCACAAAGCGATGTCAGGAGTTGAATGCTATGCTGGGGATAAATCACCTAAAATCAAGGTTGAGGTTTGGAGGAGCCGTGTAAAAAGAAATAGAATGGGGGGTAAAAACATAAGTCAGGGGTGAGAAATTCTGCATGGAGCTGTGGGCGGGTTGGTTCAACTTTGATGTTAACTTGCTGTACCTCCTAATTTTTGAATGAAAAAAGAGATCTCAGCGGGGCGCTGGGTTTAAAAGGTTAAAAATAATAAATAGGGAAATTCCTCCCTGTTGGGATGAGATCACAGGCTGGGTTTAAACTAGGATATCCCGGAGGAGCAGGATTTCACGGAGGGGTAGGGATTTGGGGTGTCATCACTTCCAGGCTCTGGGGAGCAAATGAGACATACGGATTTTAATGCCTATAAACACGGGTTTATAGGGGGGTTGTCCCGAAAGCCCCCCACCCCATTTGCTCATGCCCCCCTTGCACTGATACCTGCTCTTTTTTCCTCACCAGGGCTGAGCACTGAAGGCATCTATCGCGTGAGTGGAAACAAGTCGGAGATGGAGAGCCTGCAGCGGCAGTTCGACCAGGGTAACCTCTGCCACCGAGATTCCTCCTTTCTCACCCCAAAACTCAAGGGATGCCCGCACCCAACGTGCCTACATCCCCTCCACCACCACCGAAGTGGTTTTGGGATGATACCATGTTTGGGCACAATTAAGCCCTGTAGTTTTTATAACCTGGACAAGGCTGACATGCTCACTGCGGCTGCACTGCCCCATGCCATCCCAATGAGCGACGCCAGGCACCAGGACTCTCTGGTCCCCACGTTTTTCTGAGTGTTTTATCCATTTTCGTGCCCCTCCTGCCACTGGTTTGCCTGCTGTGCGTCAGGGTTTGGATCCTCTGTGAAATGGAGATTGGGGTTGGTGGCTGGAGGCAGTTTTCTGCCGGCGGCAGCGACGAGCTGCTTCAGAGCAAATCTCCCTGTCAGCTTCCTGCACCCCCGAAGCACTTCGGGCTGCGACCACGAACCTGGGGGTGTAACCCCGAGACTCTCTCCCTTTGCAGATCACGGGCTGGACCTGGCTGAGAAGGATTTCACTGTCAACACTGTGGCCGGTGCCATGAAGAGTTTCTTCTCCGAGCTGCCCGAGCCCTTGGTCCCCTACACCATGCAGGTTGAGCTGGTGGAAGCCCACAGTGAGTATGCCCAGGGGGTCCTGACCATCGTCCCACCCCAGCCCGGCCTATCTCCTTATTAATTCATACCATACCGGCTCATTTGTGGGCACATCTCATTAATGAATACCATAAAAGCCCATTTGCAGGCATGTCTCCTCATTATTTCACACCCTCCAAGCCCGTTTCTGGCTGGAGATGCTCTGCCCCAGCATCACCGCTCGGCGCCATCCTGCACCCGTGAGCCGCGTGGGTTTTTGCTGGGTTGGGAAAGACTGATGATCCGCTTAAGTCAGTGGCCCAAAAATCCCCCCCCACAAAGAGGAGGGATCCCACGGCGGGATGCTGCCACGACCAGCTGCGATGCCCGGCAAGCATTTCTCTGCCACAGCAGCCCCCCGACTCTGCATTTCCTCCTGGCAGAAATCAACGACCGGGAGCAGAAGCTCCATGCGCTGAAGGAAGTTCTGAGGAAGTTTCCCAAGGAGAACTATGAGGTCTTCAAATACGTCATCGGGCACTTGAACAAGTACATATCGGGGTTCCTGGGACACGGGGAGGAGCACCCCAACCCGCCCCCCCTGCCCCTGCCACAACACCAGTACTGGGGCTCGCCTCTGCAGCCGGATGGCGTCGAGGCAATCGGGGGCGGGGGGGGGGGGGCCCTGCTGGCCCCTCACTGGCATCGTCTTGTTCTCTCTCTCCCACCACAGGGTCAGCCACAACCATCGGGTGAACCTGATGACCAGCGAGAACCTCTCCATCTGCTTCTGGCCCACCCTGATGAGACCCGACTTCAGCACGATGGACGCCCTGACGGCCACCCGCACCTACCAGACAATCATCGAACTCTTCATCCAGCAGTGCCCCTTCTTTTTCTACAACCGGCCCATCCTCGAGCCCCCCAGTGCCACTCCTGGTTCTCCATCCGCCGCCCCCCCTGGCACCCCTTTCCTCCCCGCAACGCCAGGCATGGCTCAGCCCTCACCTCCCCGGACCCCACCTCCATCGCCACAGTCACCCGTCCAGCCACTCCTCCCAGCCCAGCTGCACACAGAGCAGCACACGCTGTGAGCTGGTGCCGGGGAAAAAAAAACAAAAAACAAAAAACAACAAAAACCAACCGGAAAAAAAAACCCACAAGAATCTTGGTCTGGTCTGGGGCGCCCAGTGGAGACAGGGAAGTGAACGCCGGGCTTGGGCTCGCCCTCTCCCGCCCCAGAGCAGACTTGGGCATGGCGGGAGCGTACCAGGGCAGCTGGACTTGGGGCTGCAGGAGGATTTTTCCCCACCTTTTGGTTTGGGCAGGGGGCTGAGGAGCGGATCTGGCACCAGTGGGACGGTGGGGCTGAGCCAGTGGACCCATGTGCCAGGGTGCTCGGCAGATTGGATGCTTCTCCATCTGCCCCTGGACTTTTCGGCTTGGCCCCGGCGCCAGCAAACCCCCTTGCATTCCATGGGATGCAGCTGGTGGCTCACCTGGCGCTGGCCATCCTATGTGGCCCAAGGCTCGTCCGGCACATCCCAGCTTGCCCAGCATGGCCCGGCACGGCCCAGGGCTCATCCAACACGCTGTGGTGCAGCCTGAGGCCCATCTGGTGTGGTCTGGCATGGGCTGATGCTCATCTGATGGGACCTGAGGTTCATCCAGTGTGATCCGGCACAGCCCCAGGCTTGTTTGATGCAGCCCAAGGCTCATCCCACATGGTCCAGCTTAGCCCAAGGCTCATCCACCATGGTCCAGCTTAGCCCAAGGATCATCCGACATGGTCCAGCATGGCCTGAGGCTCACCCAGCATGGTCCAGCATGGCCCAAGGATCATCCGACATGGTCCAGCATGGCCCAAGGATCATCCGACATGGTCCAGCATGGCCTGAGGCTCACCCAGCATGGTCCAGCATGACATGAGGCTCATCTGACATGGTCCACCAGGGCCCGAGGATCATCCCACGTGGTCCAGCTTAGCCCACACTTCATCCCACACGGTCCAGCATAGCCCAAGGCTTGTCTGATGTGGCCCGAGGCTCAGCCGACACGTCCTGAGGGTCATCCGACACATCCCAAGACTTATCTGAGATGACTCAAGGCTCATCTGTCACCCGGCGCATCCCACAAGTCATCCGATGAATCCCAGGACCTCCCTGGGGCCCCACCTACCCCGCTTTCCACCCATCCCCCAAAAAGCCTTTGTGGGTGTCCAGCATTGCCTTTTGGCCAGGACCCTCCCACCCCACCCTGCGGTTTTTCCCTCTCCAGGGATTTTGGCATTAAGCACTTACCAGAGGGGAGGGGGTTGGGCCCACTGCCCCCATCCCCCCCCCCCAACCCTGTTTTTGGCTGGATTTGCAGGTTTTCCTCTGGAAAAGCCGGTGCCAATTTTGGAGTTGGGTTCAACGCGTTTCAGCTTGGGGAAGGAAAGCTGGAATTTGGCTGCAGCAAGGACACCTGGTTCGCCTTTGGGGATGGGGGCTGGGTGCCCTGGGGAATGGGGGGGGTGCCCAGGTTGCCTGGGTCCCCCTGGGACGGGGATGCGGGGGGGGGTGGGGGTGGCTCGGACACCCGGATCCCACAGGAAAGGGGGGTTTGGACCCCTGGGGGATGGGGACACCTGGATGTCCACATGGGTTCTTCCCCCACCCCTCCTCCCAGTACCAGGGTGGTTTTAAACTGGATTTTCATGGTACCACTGGGAGAGCACAGGGAAGGCTCCTGCCGCCCCTCCTGGGTCTCTTCGCACTTTAAGACACCTCCAAAAACCCCCTTCAACTCCCCGCCACCAGTGATGAAAACAGCCCAAAACCCCCCAAAAACACCTGCCCCCTCCCAACCACCCCTTGGGGGGGATGACACACAGACTCCTCCAGCCCATGGAAACCCCCAAAAAGGGCTTTTTTTTCCCCCAATTTCTCCAGTCTCGTGCTTTAAAACAAAAGTGTTGGTGTAAATAGTGGCCGCCGGCCTTTTTTTTTTTTTTTCCTTTTTTTTTTTTTTAATAAAACTGGCCAAAAAAAAAAACCGAAAAGAAGAAAAAAAACCCAAAAAGAAGAAAAAACCCTGAAAAGAAGAAAAAAACCCAAAAAGAATTAAAAAAAAAAAAAGAAGAAAATAAACCCGAAAAGTATGAAAAAAGAAACAAACAAACAAAAAAACAATTCTCACCGCGGGGGAGGGTTTTTTGCTGTTAAAAATTGGGGGTTTGGTGCCTTTCGGTGCAGCCGGAGGGGCCTTTGGGGGTGTTGGAGGGGGGAGTGTCAGTGCTGGCAAAGGGCTGGGGGAAAAAAAAGGCAAAATTGGGCAAAATTCAAACTGGGAGACGGATGCATTGCTGCTTGTCGTCCCCCTCCAAAATGGGACAAAACACTACGTTTTAACAATTTTCCCCCTACCGCCACATCTTCGTCCTCCTCCTCCTCCTCACCCGCCAGATCCCAGTGCAGTTTTGGGATAGAACTCCCAATTTTGGGGATTTAGGTTTTTCCCATTAGGTTGAACCCTCCCTTTTTTTGGGGGGGATAACCCCGTCATACAATAGGAACGTCATATCGGAAAAAAGTCATTTTTAAAGCAGGACGTAAATTATTTAAATAATTAAAAAAAAAATCTCTGGGTGGGGGTCCCCCCCCACTGTAAATTAAAAAACAAACAACAAAAAAACCCCAAAAATCAAAATTCGTCATTTAAGTGATTCCTCCACCAAAAAAAAAAGATAATAAATTGAATTTTTGGGTCTGGGGGGGTGGGGGGTGGGGAGATGCGCCGGCAAAAGGGTCGGCAGGAGCAACGCCGGCGCTAACGGTTCTTTCTTTGTATTTTTAGGGTCTAACAAACCTCCCGCCCCGTAGTTTTTGGTGATAGACATTGCCTTTTTCCGCTTCTTTTAAAGACGTTTTTAACAATTTGTGACATTTTCCAGGGCCGATGCGATTAGTGCATGAAAAATAAAAATAAAAAAAAAATACTGTTTAATGCTCGGGGGGTCCGGCCGGGCCCTTTTCCTGCTGAATCAAAAGAGAAAAAAAGAGAAGGAAGACAAGAAAAAAAAGAAATAAGAATAATTTCGAAGTCACTGTGCTGGTTTTTTTTGGGCGGGGAGTGCGGGAGGGGGGTTGTAAACTGGGAACCAGTGGTGAACTGGGAATGAGCAGTGAACTGGCCATTGCAAACTGGGAACCAGTTGCAAACTGGGCTTGGTGGACTGGGAACCAGTTGCAAACTGGGAACAGGTAACAAATTAGGAGCTGGGCACTGCAAACAAAGAACCAGTGGTGAACAGAATGAGCAGCAGCAAATGGGAGGAGCAGCAAACTGGGAACTGGGCACTGCAAACTGGGAACCAGTGGTGAACTGGGAACCGGGCACTGCAAACTGGGAACCAGTTGCAAACTGGGATTTGCAAAGTGGGGAGGCAATTTTCAGGTTAATCAGCAGGAATTTGGGCAAATCAGCTGCAAACTGGGGTTTTTCCCTCTGCGTGCAAATGAATTTGTGACAAATTGGGTCTTTTTCCACATTTTTATTTCCCAGTCCATCTCCGCTTCATTGCCCTGCACCAACTGCGGGGGCTGCAAAAACTGAGGCTAAAAACGCCCGTTTCCGGCACGGCGCCCCAATGAACACTAATTTTTTAGTAAAACCCCCAGAGCAGAGCCACGCAGAGGCGAGTTTTGCTCAAAAAACCCATTTTTTGCAGCAGGAATGAGCGTGCAAACGTGGTGGGTGCAGCAAACGCCCCAGGAGGGTGTGGATCCTCCCACCCCCCCACGCTGAGGGTGAGTGAATAAATATAAAGCAGCCAAAACTGGGGGTTTTTGCACAAAAACAGCATCTGGGAGGGGCATGGGCAATCCCAACCCTGGGGGGCGCTTTAATTGGATTTTAATCCAACCCTCCGGGTGTTTTTGATCCCCCCTGGGGGGGG